CTTCAAACCAGATGCTGTAGAAATTCTCGAGAATGTCAAGTTTGAAGCACTATTTCAATAAAATGGATTACAGTTGTGGTTTTAAATAATTGAACTTACGTTCTAGTTCACTGGTTACTCATTCAAAACTTGATTATGATGATTAACAGTAAATGTTAAAAATTTAGTATAATATATACACACATACCAATCACAGTACATGGCTTATCAACAAGTTCTTTTCAGTTTTACTTTGGCAGAAGTAATAGACGATCGTTCGGCTATGAACTTGTATGTTTGGCATGATTCAGGATCAATTCATTGTTTTACTTCTGAAACTCAGATTTTGAATAAAATTCATTATATTTAAGAGAGGGAACTTTAAACATCCTCCCTGTGTTAGCTCGTGCAGTCAGATTTATGCAGTCATGTAGGTTGGTTGTAATTAAGCAAAAAAAAGCTACACAATGGGCACAACGGGTATTAAAACCCGGTTTCTAGCTTTGTACGTCCGCAGATATACAGCTGTGCCACTGGGGGCTTATGCAGTAATGGAAAAAAATATAGAAAAGCAGAAACGATACACATACAGTAGTCACAAACAACAAGAAATAGTAATTAGATTAAAATTGTATTAATGATACAAAACATTATCACAGAAAATATAAAAGAAAAGTGAATAAATTATACTAATAATTATTATTTAGCTTCATATCTTGTTTTCTCGTTCCCTTACATTTTAATAACTTAAAAATGTGGAATATTATTTCTAATGCTATGTATTACTCCCCATAAGCCACTAAAATTGTACTGTTGCTCTCTGATCACAAGAATTCTTTGGTGAGACTTTATGCTGGAAATGTCATTATTCTGAGTGTTCCATCAACCTCTTAGCCGTCAAGATATCATTTTTGCCACTTTTACTGTATGCTTCATATTATTATCTTGCTAGAAGATGAATCTCCGCACAGTGAGTCGTGTTTCAGAGAGAATAGTTTGGTGGATCCGAATTCAGGATCTTCACTTACTTGACAGCAGTCAAGGTGCCATCAGTTGTGTGTAGACCACTGATACTGTTGCCTGATATTCAGTTCCAATCTTGTATTGATTCTCCTACCACGATTCACTGTAGATATTGTTCACTGATTACGATACCGTTCTCTTTTCACCGTCGAACAAACTGTCATTAATTGTTGCTGAAGAATCTGATCCTGGATTCATCTGTCTATAGCTTTGCTCTTTCTACTATTTGTAGTGTGATGGTAATTTGAACCTCTCCGTTTGGTTACTTCTTCTCAGCAGTGGTTTTAGAGCAGTTACACGTCCACTAAGATCACTCCGTGCTAATGTTTATCGTACTCTTATTTAAAGTCGTTGACAAGATTTCTATTCGACCTTGGTCTGTTTCGTAAAAAACGTATTCCATATTTAGTATCATTTATTATTTTTATATGGTTTAGGAAATACGTAATTATTTGTTACATGGTTTAGGAAATACGTAATTGTTTGTTACATGGTTTAGAAAACATGTAACTGTTTTGTTACATCGTTTAAGAAACGTTTAATTGACTGGTTACATGGTTTGAGAGATTGAAAAGTATAAGAACGACAATAACGTCTGTAAATTAGTCTAAATACTTTATTGGAAGCGTTTCTTTACACGATATTTATGATAAATAAATTTCGTTCTATCAAATAACATGAAGACATAAACCGCTTTATATTTATTTTATGTACTGATTAACTTCTCGTGCATACTCAGTATAAATGACCTGTAGTTTATATAGTGAGAACAAGGTACATATATATAATCTTTCAAACTAGGTCTAGTTATTTGAAATAAAAACCAAGCACCTGACATAGTAAGATAGAGTGAAGTAATACCAGAGCCTATTAGAAAGGACATTATACATCTTTCGACTCGATATCACGTAAGAGACTGAACTAAATAGGGCTTTAATTAATGTTTTGTATTTTGTAATCGAGTTAGTTTGATGCCCTTCATTGTTCAGCAATAGGTATCTTCAACTGCAGCATACAGCAAGTAAAGTGCAATTATTTTTGTAATTATTCAATCCTTTTACCGGAATCCGTTATGTAGACTATAGTTTTGACTGTGACGTATCACGCTTATCTAGAATCAACGAAATATATTTGGCCAGTCTGGATGTTATATATATATATATTATTTGGCTGGTTGTTTATTTAAGAACAGTGAGTTATCTGTGCTGTGTCTGTCTACCAGTGATATCGTAAACATTTGTGTGTGTGTGTTATAAACCTTCAAATTTACCGCTGAGCCACTGGAGGAGGGGGGGGGGGTATGTATATATAAACTGTTATATGCAGTAATAAATAGTTTACTAAGTTTTATTTTTTGCTGTTGTTTCCTCTTGGAAATTTGTTGATGGTATTAAAAGTCACTGTTTAATTTAGAATAAGACTAACTTGTAATATTATAAACTTAGATTTATGCAGTTTGAGTCATTTTTTGAATCACCTGGTAACAAGATAATCATGTATATTTGTTGTAAAAGTAATAAAAAATGTGTTACGGTGTTGTAAGAAATCCACTAGAAAATTAAATTATTTATCTCTTTACTTATCGCAGTCACTCGACAGAATTCCTTTAAAGATGGTTGGAATTGCATTCTTTGTCGCAATTATAATATAATATTTGAAGCCAAAAAACTACATTCCCTTTCTCGAACAGAAAATGAGTATCTGTCTGATACAACAATTTAAAATCTTAGGCTCTTATCGAAGAAGACATTTTACCCAAGATCCTTGTCGATCAAAACGCCTAGAAAAGTAATACAACCTAGAAAGTTTGCAAAAACTAGAAATGACGAAAAATGTCTTAAGTAATAACATCACTCACAAATAAAAACGGTAAAGAATATTCTTACGCTTCCATTAATATCGAAAATCGGATGTTAACATGATGTGGTAAGTTAAAATTGCTACCCCGTATTTGACATAATAATTTTTTTTTCTAAGACATTGTTGATAAAGCATCAGACAACTCTAATAATACACAACTACAAGACCTAAAGTTGCACTTTTTTTTGTCTAAATTTTGCTTTAGAGACAAACGTTTATTTGACGTGATGTAATGTAATTGTTCTGAAATGTGGAAATTAGCATTCGAAAACCGTCTTGCAATTCGAGAATTTAATGTTAGTAAAATATAAGACACATTCCATGAATATTAGCAGGTCATGCTGAGGGATCCGTCCGTGGCTCAATCATTTATTCTTATATATATGGCATTTTGTTACCAAGAGATGAGACACCTTAACCTGATTTTCTGTAAATTTGATGTTCAAAGCGTGTCTTTATCCGATGGGTTCGGTTTTTTTTTTTTTGGTTTTTTTTCGCGTATGTGAAAATGTGGTGAAATTTGTTCTGTTATGTGTGTATGAACTTAGAGAGCGGAGTACAAAAGAGTTAGAAAAGCAGCTGTTTCTGTTTGTGCAAATTGAAAGGAGCGAGATGGAAAGATATTAGAACGATTGTGACTGAGAGCAGTTTGAGTAAATGTTTGGACTATTAAAATACAGAAAATTATTGTTGTTATTGAAATTTCCTGTCAAATATTCTAGAAAAATCATTAAGAAGCTTTTTGGAACAAAATCCACGCGAGCTGAAAGCGGAATTTTGTTTTACGATTGTGTGTGTCCTGTGTAGAATTCATAACAACGTTTCCAGTAACATTCGGTTACGTGATTCGACCATAAAAATTATATAAAAAACTGTTTGTTTGTTTGCAGTTAAGCACAAAGCTACATAATGGGCTATCTGTGCTATGCTAACCACGGGTATCGAAACCCGGTTTTTGGCGTTTTAAGTCCATAAAAATACCGCTGTGCCCTTGGGGGGCATACAAAATTGAGTTGTTTTTTGTTTTATTTCCTTATTCGCTTGCTTTAATTTTATATTTAGAGGGTTAGTACAAATGTTTTTGTAGTTGAAAAAACTACATAATGGGCTATTTGTGCTGTACCACCACGAGTATCGAAACCCGGTTTTTAGCGTTATAAGCCTTCAAACTTATCACAGTGTCACTGGGGGCTGGTACAAATGCAACCTATTTTAGAATTATCTCTTTAAAGATATATGCATAGCTGAATTTAATACAAATAACAAAACAAACAAAATTATATATAGACCTTATCTATATTTGTATTTATACATTAATTTAGTTTTATCACTGATCATTAATTCTTAGCTGTCAAACTATTTTAGACATGTTTATTTTTTATCGTTCCAGGTAGCAACATATTGTATTTCTGTTTAATATATCACACAATGGATTGTGATAATTATGTGATTAGTGAGGGTCAAGCAAGTCTTTAGTTATATATACCGAGAGTAGTTGAAAACTTACAAAACTTGATTGTTTTAAGTTAAAACCTCAATATTTTATCATTTCATTTCATCTTTCTTAAATACATGATTTCTCAAATTCACAAACTTCCCAGAGAAAGCGTTCCAGCATGATAACTATTGTGCAATTTTATGAACTTTCAGAGAACGTTTGCACTAACAGTGGAAATGTGTTTCAAACAATCCAGTAAATGAGCGTCGTTATGGAATGAAACATAAGGATAATATACAGTTTCATTGTTGTCTTATTGATTTCCTCAATCACCTAGCAGACACAATATCTTCATTTAGAAGTTGACAAGCGAAGAATGTAATACTGGAATGTTGTGCGCACTCTCTGTCACGTGATCTCTATACATAGATAGGTGTTCGCACACGAATAATTGTCAAAATTTATCTTCTGTAGCTGTTTGTTCAACTGTATCTGCATCTATCTGTAGATCTCATTATAAATCATAAATGTTTATGCAATTTTTCTCAAAAATAGGTATTTCAGTTTTAAAACCTAAAATTGAGAGTTTTAAATAGAGAAATAGGGATAAGCTTTTAAGTTTGCTAAACTTACGCATTGTTTATATCTTTACTATTAAGAATCTTCAAGCTTATTTTTTTCTTCTTTTTTTCCAGTAAATCATATTCTGTAGAATCAACACAAAGCTGCTTATCCAACTGAAAAAAAAAAGTAACACGACTTTTTAAACTCGACAGAAGACATAGAAAGAAGCAAATAAAGCAAAATATTCAGATGTGAAAAGAGTGGTCGTTACAGGTCATTTATCATGAACCAGATTAGAAAGGAAGCAAGCTTGGACTCTCAAGGACAAGGATCAGGTTAGAATAATAATGTTATACGGTGAAAAAGCTTGGCTAGCACTAACTGTGAGATAGAATTTAGATTTTATTAATTTGTGTACTTGTTTTAGAATGTTCGCGCAAAATCTATACAAGAAATATTTGCAAACAGCCGTCCACATTTTGAAATGATAGACTAGAAGGTAGTCCACATCATCTTCCGCCAGATCTTGGGGCCACTCTTATTTGATCTATTAGTGTGATTTTACCGTCACACCCACGGCTCCACTAAACTTCGGATTTATCGTCCGAGAACGCTAAATGCTAGGACACGCCCAGTCCATACACGTTTCAAATGTGAGATTCAACTGTAGAATACAATAATATCATGATAAATAAGTATCTTCATTTAAAACTAGATTAGTGTAAAACATATGTTAAAATTTTTCAGCTTCTCTAGGACAAATCAGGTACTTAGACGTTATTTGTAGTCTAACTAAAGAAGAACAGGTTTAAACTTGTTTTCTTTTTATGCTATTCTAATTTTTTTTCTTAACATTACTCTGAAGATGAAAATTTTCCAACAAGAAACAAACACTTATACAATAAAACACTTAAAGTTTTAAAGCATAATCGTTTTGAACTCAGGATGTATGTCACATGACAACCACAGCCGCGGTGAAAGGAATGTATCAGAACTACATTTTGACATTGTTTGGCGTTGCGTAGGTAGTACTATTCGTAAAGTTACTGAAAGAAAATAAAGACAGTTAATGACTAGAAAAGTACTGATTAAATTCAAAAGAGAATAAAGAAGAATGAAAGCGAGGATATGACAAAAATAGTTTTAGTTGTTATTTAAAAATATAAGCTGCGTATACTCAACACTATCTCCGTTCGTATTGTAACCGTGACACTTGACAACAGTTGGTTTATTTTTAGTCAGGAGACAACGCAGATTTGTAATCAGTATTGTGCCTATTTAGATCAGAAATATATAGGTAATATTATTATATATTTTCCCAACGATTTTTTAACTTATCCCCCGAAAAAAAATGTGTATATGTATATATGATACACATACGTATATACTAGCAATGGTACCAGTGCCACACGCGGCAGTTATTTTGTTGTCTTCACTGTTATGATTGGACGGCGTGCTGTACGTTATTCCCTATGTAAGGATTATGATCAGAGGTTGGGAAGTCCATTAAGGCAGTAAGTAGTAACGTGGAAAATTGAAAAGGCCTTAGAATACGGTCAGTGCATGGCGCAGAATTAAATGTTACTTTCATTCAGCGTGGACTTCAAGTAGTAAAGATTAAATTACTACCAAATTTGAACCGTCTATCCGATTTCTTATCCAATTAAATGCGATCTTTGAGAGGTTCATCTGAATTTTTCTACCAAAATGTATCAAAATTGGTGACGTCAAGACACCACACATACAGACAACTCTCTCTTATATATATATATATATGAAAGAAACATTCAAGAAAGAAAATTAATTTAATTTTGTATTTGATTCAAGGGATATTATTCTCATTTCTCTTGTTACTTATATTTACGCCATGATTAACTTTTAATTCGTTTCAAATACAAAATTACATATTTTACTTCTATTCCCTTTTTTATCATTTACTTCCATCATCTGTCTCGTAAGTGTAAATTACTTTTGGATTTTCCTTGCAAACACAACATTTTACACTATTGTAATTGATTATTGATAAATTATATCAAAATTGTGAAGTAGCAACACATGGAATTTGTATTGCTTAATGTCAGATGTGTATTTATACTTCATTACATTAAATATTTTATAACTTCATTCTGCTACAAATTCCCAATTACCTTACATTACTTCAATAAACAAATACTATTTTTAATCAGGAAATGCTGTTAATCGAGGAAAAAATATATCTTTAATTTCCCACTAAGAAGACAGTAAACGCGCACGCGTAATTACGTCGTGCAATACAATTAAAACGAGCTCCACTACTGATGTTAAGATATTATGTTTATAATTTTTTTCTGGTTACCGTATATGGATTACATAGAGATAGTGTTTTTAAATTTGGCAAAGTAACTATTTTCTGCTTCGAAAAAAAGAATCTTATCACTTATTAGAATAATTGTCAAGTTTTATGAATTCAAGTTTTTATTAAACAAATAATATACCTTCTTTGAATAGTAGATGAAATCTCAAACGTTTGGATTAATTTGTTAAATTCTTTCACGTGGTAGGAAACATAAGTTCAGTTTTATTATGCAGACGTAGATATAAGAGACTAGCCTTAGAAAAATACACATATGATATAATTTTTAATATTTTTTCTCTTCTTCGATGTCATAATTGAGTATAACGCAGTTCAATCGAAAAATAAGATCTAGCATGGTTGTACTAGACTCTGTACATGTATGTATAAAAGTATACTTGACATTGATATACGTGCGTTTAGAGATTTGAGTATTTATAATGTAACGAAATAAGATATTACACTTTCTGACAACATAATTCATCGCTTCTTAAACAAGATGTAGGTATATGAGCATTTTAACAAAATATTTCTTCCTAAACTTTAACAAGAAAGGTAAGAGATATTTTTTGCTATGAATAACAGTGTCAATAGTCCAAAGCTGATGTAATATTAACTGTTTTATTAGAAACTGAATTTATAGGTGGTGAAAGATTATGAACATCGTGTTAATTAAATACTATAACATTTTTCACTTGTCTCATGATGATACTGATTCAAAACCAAATTGTATAGATAGGAGAGATTGTCCTCAAATGCTCATTAGCAATTTATTTGTAGTAGGACTTTAAGATTACTGTTGATTAAACCAAAACATTTTCCAAAGCAGACCCAGCCAATTATCTATATTTAAGAAATTGAATTCTTGATAACAAGACAATAGATTTTGTTCTTCCTAAGAAAACATAAGCTTGTTTCTTTCTTTTGTAAAACGAAAAGTAAAAAATAAATAAAAATAAACATATTTTAGGAAAGAAAATTAATAAAATATAAACCTGAAAATTACCAGTTTCATTCACATTATAGTAGAACATTTTATTGTTGTACTGGCAAAAAAAGAAAGTGGCTTTCGCCAAAAAAAATTCTTTCAAGTACATCTGTGAAATAACGCCCAAAACGTTCATAAGTTATTCTGCTAAGAGTTAAATACACGAACCATAAATTTATCAAGTACAGCTTATTATTTCATTTTCGAAAGATTTTAGTTCCTCAAACCTGAATGGTGTTCTAAGTGTTTAATGTTTCGAAATAAATCTATATTGACAAGTTGCTCGTGATTATAATTACTTCCAGGTTGATTTCCATGGTTTTCAAAAATAAATTTGGAAGCTAATGTACCTGTAACATATGCCTCCTATTCATAGCAATAGTGCTGAAGAAATGAAGCTCAATACAACAAGGCATTAGTCAGTTGGTGAAGCTTCATTGCGATGGGGTTGTAACTCAGTGGTAAAGCTTAAATACGACAAGCGTGTATTACCAGATTGGGAAGCCACATCATGTCAGAGGCTCTAGTCAACCGATGGAGCTTTAACTTCTAGTCAACCGATGGAGCCTTAACGACGGGACTGGTGCCCAAATTGTAAAGTTTCAACATTACTAAAGACATAAATGTAGAAGGCTCATCACAACAGGTGTTTTAATCAACAACGTAAGTTTCATCATAGCAGAGACTATAATGTTTTAATCAACAGCTTAAGTTTCGGCATGGTAGATACTATAGTGTTTTAATCAACAGCTTAAGTTTCGTCATGGTAGAGACTATAGTGTTTTAATCTACAACTTAAGTTTCGTCATGGCAGAGACTATAGTGTTTTAATCAACAGCTTAAGTTTCGTCATGGTAGAGACTATAGTGTTTTAATCTACAACTTAAGTTTTGTCATGGTAAACACTATAGTGTTTTAATCAACAACTTAAGTTTCGCCATGGCAGAGACTATAGTGTTTTAATCTACAACTTAAGTTTTGTCATGGTAGACACTATAGTGTTTTAATCAACAACGTAAGTTTCGTCATGGCAGAGACTATAGTGTTTTAATCAACAACTTAAGTTTCGTCATGGCAGAGACTATAGTAAAATTTCATATGCGCATTTTTGGATAAAGATAGATCACATCCTCCCTCCCTCCCTCCAGTGACACAGCAGAAGACTTATAACGCTAGAAACCGGTTTTCGATACCAGTGATGGGCAGAGCATAGATAGTCCATTATGTAGACTTGTAATTACCTATAACAAACAAACAATAAAAATTTTAACATATAATTAGTTTTTTCCAATTTAATATACTTCCTAAAACTATCTTTAGTTGAACCCTTTGATTTTGAAGAGGTTTAAGAAATAAACGGCTGCTTATGATAAGTGAACACGTTTCAGAGAAATGTAGGCTTGAGTAACGTTTACAGTCTCTGTACACGTTTTTTTTTAATTTTTTTTTCTGCAGAAATAAAAATATGAGAACGTTATTAATCTTCTGTAGAGGATTAACATTGAATATTTTTATTTTAGTTTCATTGTTTTAGAAACACAAAGCTACACAAGGACTACCTACACCTAGCCGTCCCTAATAATAATTTTAAGCTGATAAACTAGAGAGAAGACAGCATGTCAACAGCACTCGCCGTCAGCTTTTACTTGGAAGAATTCTCAGTAAGAACATTAGACGACTCACACCGTGCATCAAAAAATTCAACATTTAGAAAAAAAAAAATCTATGTCTCCATGGGCCAAACTATCATGAAAGCAAATGTCAAGTCAACAGAAATCACACAAACCAGGTGATCTCGTTTACTGAAACGTGTTTTTTATTGTTGGTTTAAGCAGTATGCATACTTTTATATTATAAGGTTGAATTTATAAGTGCGATCATATAAAACATAACAGAAAACCAAATATTTCCATTTATTACTACAACTTCCCTATAGATCAGTAACAAAATGGGCCTCCCTTTTTATCGTAAAAAACATAAGTTTTAAAGAAACATAATATGATTACAGCATTTAG